AAAGGAAAGCGAGGAAAAGAGGGGAAATTCAAACGAACTAAAAACGTACAATTGCTTTACGCCGAATTTGCCGCTATTTGAAAGTGAAATTAAAATGCGCACGCAGCTTTTACAAGCTATTTAAAAGTAAAGGAAAGCGAGGAAAAGAGGGAACGCTTTCGCCCCCACGGTGATACCGGTATTACCGGTGTTGTCACACGTCGATTAACCGGTGGGAAAATTTTCTCACCGTCACAACCCTAATCAGCACTCTATGGGTAATGTTGCAGACTGGACCCAAACCTGCATCACCCACGTAAGCACCATATCGCACATAGTGCAACATCTGGAACACCTACACTATGGCTCTGACTAAAATAGTTGATTTAAGAAGCATTCTATATCCATCTCCGGCATTTTTACATACTGTACGTTTTTGAGTGCGATACCACACCTAACACCACCATACATTTGACAGCCATTACTTCTTGCTAATTAGGTGTGTTAGTGGAATTTAACAGAACAGGACCCCTGCCCTCTCTCACTCCCTCGAGGGTCACTTTCCAACAACAAAAGGGGCAGATCTGTTGACGTGAGGGTCTAAGAAATGACTCAAGCAGTCACAGTAATCCAAACAACCCAAACCAAACAACCCGGGCTTATCCCGCTGTTGTGTGTGTATCTCAAACACACACTCACAAACCAAGACGACATGAGCGACGATGATCCAGAGTACATAAGAGCGTATGTTTCGTAATGTCAACCCATTCCGGCTCATTCCACACCCTAGTGTCCTTTTATTTTGAATTGCAAAAAAAGAATATTATGGAACCATCATGGTCAAGGCCAACTGTTCAGTTTCAAATTTGTATATGCATAGTAAATGTTGAAAGTAAATGTTAAATTTTATATCCCATATATCTACAAAATGAATTGGACTTATCAAGATTTGATTGGATCTTAAACAGCCTTGTTGTTTCTGAGGCAGATTATATTGTTTTGATAAGTAATAAAATATATTTGTATAAATGTATTAATCATGTTAAATAATAAATTACTTCATATATTTATATATTTTATATTTTTTCAAATATTTAATAAATTGATTAACATGCAACAATAAACCACAGTGAGCACAAAAAGAAATTATTAAAAATCATATTCACATTTTTTTTCATATTTTAAATAAAAAAAGTCCCCACCCCCTTGCAATTATTATTTATGATAGTGACCGTCTGAGTGGTGAAAGGAAAGATAAGAAATTGAATGGAAATGCATGCACACATTTTTTAAAGCTGTCCTTGTGTGATCTGTGTTTGCTGGCCGTTGTCATGTCATGCGTTATCTTCGTTTGGAAAATGTATAGCTGTGCAATTAACTCCCTTTCAAACACACAACATTCCTCACAGCCTAAATCCCGTCTCGTTTTCTAAAACCGTTTTGGAGCAGAAGATAAAGAGGTGAGCAGATAAATGGTGCTCCGTTTAAAACTTCTGGAAGCATCCCCCAGAGCTGCTTAATTACTGTGCGATTGAACCTCGCAGTAGCACGGCACTAATTCAGCCGCGCTGTAGGAGGTCTGTGCAGGTGGATTAAAGAGCAGCGTTTATATGAAAGCAGACGAATGTTTTCAGCAGCTATGATATGCACTCCTTTTCTGTCACTCCAACAACTAAATTGCTTTCCTGAATGTTTACCATATGTCACCGATCTAGACTGACTGTCAATGACAGGAGGAATTCATCAGCATCGTAACTACATATCTTCACTTGACACCATTGCAGACACTCTAGACCTGTACACAAATGCACAGCATGCTAACAGTAGAGTCACCTACCAAAACGTGTCATTACACACATTAGATGTGTCCTAGCGCAACCTGTTTATGTCTGCACATGCACTCGTGTGTCTGTCAGTATGTTATTACGCTGGCTTGAGATGACACGGTCCTCTTTGATCTTTGCGTGTGCGACTGTCACATTCTTATGATGAAAGGCTGAAGGCAGAGATGAGCATGAGAGATAGAAAAGCAGAATCTCACAGCTCTGAAACCTTTCATTTTGTACATTAGTTGTTGTTGTTTTTTTCCATGTTTATTAATTCAATGGCTTTTTTATTTGTAATTTATGTGTATGTAGTTTGGGGTTTGTGAGATTTTTGAAAGAAGAAATCTTTCTGTAAAAAGTACTGTACAAAGAGTAATATTGTGAAATATTACAATTTAAAATATATTAATATATTGCTTATATATATTTTTTTATATTTTGTGGACATTTTAAATAGGTTTTTTTTTCAGGATTATTTGATGTATAGAACATTCAAAAGAACAACATTTATTTGAAATAAAGACACAGACACAGGAGTAGTTCACGCAAAAGTCAAATGCTTGCACAAAATATTTCCACAAAATGAAAATGGATAGTGATTCTTACTGTGAAGCAACAAAATAGGGGAAAAAAAAAAACTAATAGTAAATCTGATGTGCTGCTTCATTCAATAATGATTCAATCATATATTTATGGAACTTTAACGGTGCTTTTTGTGCAAATTACTGCCTATTTTTACTGAAATCCTTCGTTTCTGTTATACAGAATAAAGGAAATGACATTTGGGAATATCTTGAGTGTTAGTGAATAATGACAGTTTAAGTAAACCATTCTGTGTAGCCAATTTATTTCCCACTGAGAGTCATCGTTGACATGATGATTTAGGCTTCATATGGGATTCCATTCGGATTCCTGGGAAAATCTGCCACACGAGACCATGACGTCAGATATATTTGAATGATCGACTCAGTGTGCTTGTTTTAAGTGACCCATCAGATGAACAAAACCTTTGTAACGCTAGATAAATTTAATAATGAATGAACTTGAAATATCTAGTTTTTTGTGGTGCATTAGAATAGCGCACTTATACATGTAGTGTAGGAAATGCCAGTGGCTTTGCTGCTAACGTTAGTCAGCCTTATCCCTCAAACAACTCATCTCACCCGTTAACTTATGGAACTCATATAGACTCTAAACCCCTCCACCACATAAAACAGCCATAACAATGATAATAACATTAAAATGGAATCTCCTGCTGTTGGGCGGAAAATTTGCCCTCTTTTCCTCTCCGCTTTGGTCTCTGTTCCAATACCCCTCTAATTTATGGAGCAGTTAGCTGTGAATTTGAACCAGACGCCTCTGCAGGATTGCAACTGACTGCTTTTAATAAACCTTAGAGGAAGTGGTTGTCCAATGGAGCACAGAGAATAGCGTCTGTGGCCAGGAGAGCTTTAATCTGTAGCAGAGACCCACAAGCCTTTGTTTTGATGTGACTTACAGAACCGCACTAAAGCTTATCTCAGAAACTGATTATGTATGTGCTTCATTCCTGCTTCTCTCTCGTTCTCGGTCTTTTTATGCATCACAATGGTGTTGCACAGAATTTCTTGGTTTGATTTATAAACACTTCGCATTAGCTGTTGGTTTTTAGATTTGTAAACCAACGTTATGAATGTGTTCTGGGCCAGTGCTTGCTGGTTTGTTTTAAAGGGGTCGTCATACATGAAGAATCAAACCATTTCTTGGTCTTTTGAAATAAGAGTTCAGTGTACACTGAAAATTATATTAAAACTTGCTGACATCCACACTTACAGTCAAACTGATTTGCTGTCCACAAGCCATTTTGCTTTGTAATATGCCATATTTTCAAGTGAAACAGATATTCAACAAGAATGAGAAATAATTTTGCCAATAATTTGCCTTTATATTTGGTCATGAAAAATAAATTATGACAACACAAAAACCTTCAGCAACACTTTAAGTGGACCTCCAGGGAAAATAAATAACATGTATGATCCCGTTAAACCCCACATAGGAATCGTGTTTTTGTTGTTCTGAATTTGTCCTCCATCTCTGTGTTTCTCTCAGCCCTCTGCATGCCGTGTCATTCGCCCTGGCGTGTGGGATCCCAGGTGTGACCCTGTTGACCCTGGGTGTAAATCCCCTGACTGGCTTCCTGGGCGCCCTGAACATCTTCCTGTACACGTGCTGCTACACTCCCCTGAAACGCCTCAGCATCACCAACACCTGGGTAGGTGCCGTGGTGGGCGCCATCCCACCTGTAATGGGCTGGACAGCAGCCACCGGCTCTCTTGATCCAGGTACAAAGTCCTCTTATATGCACACACTAATGACTACAGTTCCCACTGGAATGACTTTGATAAAGCATATATACTCCTGTTCAAATAATTTACTCACCCTCATGTTGTTCTAAACCTATATAGTTTTCATTCTCCTGTGGAACATAAAATGAGACATTTTCAAGAATGTTCATGTTGCTCTTTTTTCATACATTTATACTATACAGTAATCAGTGACTGTCGAGCTTAAAAGGACGGGGAAAAAAACACGCCATAAAACTGGTATGACTTCTGTGCTATATTTAAATTCTTTTGAAACCAATTTGATAGATTTTCAAGTTTTTTTTATGTTTCCGAAAGAAGGCTTTTAAAGGGTTAGTTTACCCAAAAATGAAAACTGGCTTGTGTTTTACTCACCCTCAAAGCATCCTAGGTGTATATGACTTTCTTCTTTCAGACGAATCCAGTCGGAGTTATATTAAAAATTGTCCTGGCTATTCCAAGCTCTATCATTGCAGTCAGCGGGTGTTGCAGTTGAACAGTCCACAAGTCGTCAAATAAAGCGCACGCATTCATAATAAAACGTGCCTCAAATGGCTCCGGGGGGTGAATAAAGGCCTTCTGTAGTGAATCTATTTGTTTTTATAAGAAAAATATCCATATTTCAAACGTAATAAACACTTTTCTCTCACTTCCGTTATCTTTCATACACAGAAGACGTGCCGGCGGAAGGCGTATGACGTATGCGCAGCGCTCGCGCCTCTGAGATATGCTAGTCTCGCGAGTTTGTTTATAGGAGCAAAGGAAGCAAAGTTTCCTTACTTTAGCAAAGGAAAACCAGTCTCCTCTTGGCTTATATCGAAATCCTCTGACATTTTTCTTTTCAAATCCTCGTTTTGTGCTTCTAATTAGTGACCATTGTTTTGTTTTGATCTCTCCGCTGCG